CTCTTCCTCTTTCTCTCTCTCTCTCTCTCTTTTCTCTCTATCTCTCTCTCTCTCTATCTTCCTCCTCCTCCTTCCCTCTATCTCTCTCTATCTCTATCACCTTTATCTCAATCTCCCTTTTGCAGTTCAAAGTTCGCAACAGTAAGATCTCGCCTACCACATGAAGATCCACACATTCTCATTGTTTACCGTTGTTCGTCTTTCTTATGTTCCGCAGGTTCTGCAGTTCGACGTTCGCGACAGCGAGTTCTCTCGCCTACCACACGAAGATCCACACGTTCTCATTGTTCACCGTTGTTCGTCTTTCTTATGTTCCGCAGGTTCTGCAGTTCGACGTTTCGCGACAGCGAGTTCTCTCGCCTACCACACGAAGATCCACACGTTCTCATTGTTCACCGTTGTTCGTCTTTCTTATGTTCCGCAGGTTCTGCAGTTCGACGTTCGCGACAGCCCGCTGTGCACGCGGTGGTGCTTCTTTAGGTCGGAGCTCTGCCGGAAGCACGCGCTGCATATGTCACACTTGTAGGGCTTCTCGCCCGTGTGGATCTTCGTGTGGTAGGCGAGAGAACTCCGAGAAGCCGTACAAGTGTCACCTGTGCCACAAGGCGTTCACACAGTCCTCGTCGCTGTCCGGGCACCTGCAGTTTCACGGCACGACGCAGGCCATGCAGTGCCCGACGTGCGGGCTGTCCTTCAACACGTTCTACGAGCTGCGCAAGCACATGCGCTACTACCACAAGAAGCAGCAGCAGGGGGCGCCGGCGGGCGCGGCGGGGCCGGCGAATCCCTCGCTGTCGCTGTACGCAGGCGGCAACGCGTAGTGGGAGGCTCGGCAGAGTAACGATGAGGGAGGGGCGCTGCTGCGTGTCAACGTGCGTAGCGAGGTTTAAAGAGTGGGTGCGCGCGAGGAAAGGTTTCGCGAATTACTACGTCACGATTTCCGTTTATTTTAGGGTTATTTACATTTTTGGCCTTTATTGTGTTTTTCTTCAAAATCTGGGGCAAGGGGCAGCTGCCCGCTACGGCCCCAAAAGGTTACGACCGTTTGTTTGCACCAGATAGTGCTTAAAGTAGAGAATAAAACTCCAATTTGTCGCTCAGTGGAGCGTAGTGGTGTGACAAAACATTCTGTATACATGTACAACATCGCTACGTAGCTGTGCGTGCTGGACATAGTAGTGGTGCACGCAAACCTACTGCAGTGTACAGCACGTGGATGTATATAATCCTACTATATATAGTCTATACTGGTAGTGTATACTCTCTAGATAGTGTCCTGTATCATAGTGTAGTGGTATGACCAGATGCACTGTGTAGCAAGGACTACCAATGGTGCAAACATAACTGTAGTTGCGTGTACAAAAATAGCTGTCAATGTTGTACATAGTAGTATTAGTAGTAGTAGTGTGACTGCCCATGGTGTACATATTATATAATAGTGGTAGTTGTACATGCATTGTTACCAGCCTTGCTGTTGTTGGGTGATCATGCGATGATTTTACCAAACACTGTACAGTGATTGCACTCTAATGTGCACGTAGCTAATCGTTTTTAAGTGTATTGAATTGCATGGATTTCGTCGTTAGTTCGGAGGGTTGCGTGCGGTGAAAGCGTGATCACGTAGTTCTGGATCACCGAGTTTCACACCGTCGTATGTCGTGGGTCCACTTAAGGCTGCTTTGCTGCAAGTTACGTCGCATGGAATCTGTGAATTCCTTTGTTTTAGATGATTAATATAATGCTGAGATGTTAATTGCAGACTTTTAAATCTTGCGCGAGCTAACAAGTATTATTACACAAAATATTAAGTATTATACAGAGGGAGATTATTTATGTAAAAGATGGTAATAGAGAGATTATGACGTCAATCAAGAGTCATATGTGAATTAAGCGAGTGTCGTGGCCTATATATTTATATAGACAATTAGATTAGGTGACCTGTAACATGTATGTTTTTTGTTATACGTTCTCTAGTTTCAAAGTCACGTTTACGCGATGATGCGAGAGCTGTATGGTTCATGTTTCGTTATCCCTGCCAGATGTTCACTTGTTCCCATCTCAAACTCAGGTGTGCGAAATTTTGCCTTCTGCAAGAATATAGGTGAGGGTTAGCACACACTAGCCAGGTGCCTATAACGCATGCTTACAGTTAGAGAATTAGTACATTAGTACTAGGCCCTATGTGCCCACATAGTTTTCCTTCCCTCGTTTTTTGCTAAGCACTTCGTTCTTACTTTGTGTGTGCGTGTTGTGGTTTACGATCGAAGGAATATGTCTGGACAAGGGTGTCTCTCATGTGATTCACGAGGTTTGCTGCTTGACCACATCACTGCACCTGTCCATGTGTGTGATGCAGTGCCAGGATCACAGCCTGAGCTAATACCTAGGAAGGGAGGGGGGGTGCAAAACTTCATCCCTCGGCTAAGTAATCACGAGTGAGAGCCTCTTCCGGGTGATACTCCATTAGGAGTGTTCGCAACTTTAATGTCATTAATGGTCATAATAACATATATATATATATTTGTCATTATTAGCTCCTGATATATATATATATATATATGCGGTCGCGGTCATATATTAGTTTGTGGTTTAATGTCATTTAGGTTAAGGTTAGGATTATCAATCATTAATCATTAATGATATCAAAGTTGGGAACACTCTTAATGGAGCGTTGGCCCTACCGTCCGGTCAACATGCTGCGTAGTGTAGCTTTACATTTATTAGGCTTTTTCCCAAAAATCCCTAGAGGTTATAGCCCTTAATGCGTGTCTGTGCAGTCATCATTGTAATAAATCTGTACATACTTCATTCTTTCGTCCCGGAGTTTTTCATTTCTACGACTACGAAACGCAAAGTACTGACCATTAGTGCATTAGCTGGAATAATATCAATATATTTATTAAACTCAACCTCGTGAATGTAGCGCACCTAAATAAAATCAGGTAAAATAGCAGTGAGCGATCGATCGATCCATCGATCGGTCGGCACTGCCCTCAACACGCAGTACGTACTTTCTACCATTATATCCGATCGCCCGTGCAATCGCGTATCTTCCCGGCGGGTCTCCAAATTATTAACTGGTACATGCTCTTGCACATTATGCAATCATACCGCCCCAGAGAGGAAGCCACGTGGACTGCATGCCACTTACTCTACACATTATATATATATATATAATACACTTTATAGCCATCACATGAGCATTGTGTGCGCAGAAGCTCTCTCACAGACTTGTATAATACACTGGAGTCTTGGACTAAAATCTTATGTATATATTACACCCCCATATGAATAGTCATCATTACATCCACCGACATTAGTACACGCGACCGGAAAAAGCATATATGATAACACCACATCGATCTACAATGCTCCCATTTCTCTACGAATTTCCATAAAAACACCCTTGTAGACGGGTGTGTGCACCGTTTGCGCCAAACAAAATATCAACAACTCCCTGCAGGATGTGGCCGTCGTTCGCTCATCGTAAAAAAAATCTTCGCGTCGCCGCACGGCATAGACTGCTGCCGTTTCGCACGCGTATGGCGTAGCTCCAGTGTGCGCATGCAGAATGTCGAGCGCAGGCGCGCATCTATCTATAGCAGCTCGAACTCGTCATCGGTGTCGAACACCCTCTCGGTGTCGAGCACCGTGTAGTCGGCGTAGGTGGCGCCACCGCTCGCCTCGTGGTAGTCGAACCAGTGCGCGGGACGCTGCTGCGCGAGCTCGAACATCGCCTGCTTCTCCGGAGCTATGATCTTGTCCTGTACCTGCAACGCGTGCGCAGGGGTAGAAATTAACTTTTGAACACGGGAACCAATGGACTCCCTACCCTCAAAAAGAGGGAGTACATAGCAAAATGATGGAGTCTGCAGTCTGAAGTTCAAAATAAAAGATATTTACAATAACGCATACATGTGCTTATTTTTAAGATTCGTGCAGTTGCACGTCTGCCAAATTTTCTTTGGACATTAGCTGAAAAAATACGGTAATTCTACGAGGCCGTGCTCCAGAACGAACTAGTTAGTATGGCAGAATTTTCAGGGAGTCACACGGACTCCTGCATATGTCAAATCAGGGAGTCCGACAGTAAATCAGGGAGTATTTGACTCCGGACTCCCGTTTATTTCGCACCCTGCGTGTGGAGAGAGAGAGACGAAGCGGTTAGGGTCGCATCCCGCCATACACGGTCGGATAGTGCGAGGAAGAGAAAGTATGTGAGAGTGCGAGACGTACAGAGAAAGAGAGGGACCGACAGACAGACAAAGAAGCAGAAATATAGACACACAAACAGAGAGAGAGAGCGAGAGAGAGAAACACACAAAGAGTGAGAGAGAGAGAGAGAGAAAAACACAAAGAGAGAGAGAGAGAAATACACAAAGAGAGAGAGAGAGCGCGAGACAAACACACAGAGAGAGAGAGAGACACACACAAAGAGAGAAAGCTCGAGAGACAGAGAGACAAACACACACAGACTGAGAGAGAGAGAGACACACACACACAAAGAGAGAAAGCTCGAGAGACAGAGAGACAAACACACACAGACTGAGAGAGAGAGAGACACACACACACAAAGAGAGAAAGCTCGAGAGAGAGAGAGACAGACACACAAAGACTGAGAGAGAGAGAGAGACAGACACACAAAGAAGAGAGAGAGACAGACAGAGAGAGATGCGAGATATAGGACGTCCACGGGGACCTACCTGCTGACACCAGCTATCGAATTCGCCTTCACTGCCAAAGTAGAATCCATCGCGCACAGAAGGGTCAAGGTCGGCGAAGTTTTCATGCGGCTGATGAAGTTGCAGTGGTAGCTCCCGTCATCGATACGACCTTCATCGTCTGTCGTGTCAAGGTCAACGACGGGCTGTGTCGTGTGAGGGTCGAGGTATAATAGCTGGTCGCCCACGGTAACCTACACACACGGATAGCAACGCCATCTTGGTTTACTGCAAGTAAGCTACACACGGATAGCAACACCATCTATACTTTTTATCGTCTGCGGCCTGCCATGTCTACATTCATAAATAACTAGAAAAGGCAGTTGTCGCCAACTACATGTATCCCCCGTGATCTAGTATGAATGAAATATCTCTGTAAGGACGTAGAAGGTAGGTAAAGTTAAATAAGTCACAAAGACAAAGGTTTGTTACACAACTCATCTGCCTGAGATGTGCAAGTATGTTAAAATTGGTTGCCTTAGGGTTTTTGGTATGCGACACACCTTCTCCCCAAGATGTGTAAGTATACAAAGTTTGCTCGCGCTAGGTCAATTAGGGGCCGAGTTATAGAGCGGAAGGGAAATATGATAAAGGTCAAGGTCAAGGTCAAGGTCAAATAAAGGTTGCAGTGACCTGGTTTCAGTACGCGACACACCTTCTCCCCAAGATGTGTAAGCATACCAAGTTTGGTAGCGCTAGGTCAATTAGGGGCCGAGTTATAGAGCGGAAGGGAAATATGATCAAGGTCAAGGTCAAATAAAGGTCGTAGTGACCAGGTTTTGGTAGCGCTAGGTCAATTAGGGGCCGAGTTATAGAGCGGAAGGGAAATATGATCAAGGTCAAGGTAAAGGTCAAATAAAGTGGTATTTGTAACGCAGAGGTCTTCGTGAACGCCGTAGGCGGTTAGGGGGGGCCTCCCCCAGAATTTTTTTAAATTTTTAAATTTTTTTGGCCGTGCAGTTTCAAAACTGACCGTGCAAAACACGACTGCACGGCTCGCTGGCTAATACGTTGGTTGCCGCCATGCTTTTCGGCACGCGAACACCTACCTAGGAAGTAGTAGGCGTGGTTCGGCTTCCCACCAATGATGCCGACCGTCTGCGGCAGCTCCAGGCACTCCTTGACGCTGCGAACATAGCACGGGTTGATTTCAGTCAGCCCCAGCCGCAGCGGCACGACCAGCAGGAGCGGCTTCCACCGCCCGCGCTCCGGCTCCCGCCCGCGCCCCGCGCGACTATAGTTCTCTCTGTCCTTCAGCCGCTTCGAGTCCGCGGGGCCGCAAGGCTCCGTGGCGACGCGGTTCGCGTCCGGTGGCGCCCCCTCGAGGCAGAGCGCGCGGATGTCGTCGACGATGACGCTGTTGTCCATGGCAACGTGCACGGCGAGCCCGCTCCACGCGTCGTACGGCGCCAGCTTGCGCAACACCTGCGCGACGGTGTTCGGACCGAACCACGAGCCGACCGGCTTGCCCTCCGTGACGCCCATCTGCGAGATCTGATGGATGGAGTAAGTCGCCGCCTTGCAGTCGGCGAACATGCGGAGCACGCGCGCGTAGGTGGGGTCGCCGGGGTCACGGTGGCCGTCACGGCCGAGGTGGCGCAGCAGCAGCGTCTGAGCGAGCATCATCTGCCCACAGCGCAGCATGCATCCCCAGCCGGTGTCGCTCGTCGGGCCGACGCCGCCGATCGCGGCGAACCCGCGCCGGTACGTCACCCAGACGCGCGCGCCGACGTCGCGGTGTATCTCCTCGACGTCGTACAGGGCGCTGTAGCGACGCCCGAGCAGGTAGACGGGGTCGGTGGTCGCGGGGAGCGGTTCGTAGTCGAGCAGCGCCGCCTCGTAGGTGGCGCACGCGGTGTTCGTCATTCGCTGCAGTAGCGATGTCGCGGCAGGCTGATCGCCGCTCTGCTCTCCGCACTCTCCCTGCTCGCTGTTGCTATGTGTCCACTCCTCCCACTCGCAGCCCTGCTCGCTGTTGCTATGTGTGCTCTCCTCCCACTCGCAGGCCGGATGGCTGTTGCTATGTGTGCTCTCTTCCCGTTCGCAGGCCGGATGGCTGTTGCTATGTGTGCTCTCTTCCCGCTCGCAGGCC